TTTATTTTTTGGGGTTTTAAACCCAATCCTATTTTGTTAAAACACCTACCTTGGACCATTTTGATGATATTTTATGATATTTTTAAAGTGAGAGAGAGGGTCCTAGAGGGAGAAAGTGATCTTCATCAAATTGCTCTTCAATTCTCACTTAAAATCTTGAAGATTATCAAGAGAGACACCTAAGTCTTCTTCCTAAGAGGTAAGATTCTATCACCCAAACTCTTAATTTTAAAATGTAACTAGAATGGGCCATTAGTATGGTAATTCATGGGGATGAGAGTGCTTACCTTGCATGCATGTGTTCCTAAGGTATATGGGGAGGTTGTGAGTTAAAGATGAAAAAGAATGGGGTGTGGGTTGGTGGAGTCTTTCACAAAAAGGGCCTTAAAACATTGGTGCATACCTAGTGTTTGATAATATGCTCAAATGAGCTAGAATCATGACCGTCTTTCTAATTTTGGTCTAACTTGTTATATTTCTAAAATAAATTGAAGTTGCTAAAAATTTCGGGTCATTTTAGAATTTGAGAAGCTCAATTGAGGTATGTTGGCTAAACCCCCTTCTTCTTAGAATCGAATCCCATGGTGTTCATGTAATTGGAGTAAGTCCTTGATCATTATTGAATTGACTATTCCTAATGTGGTTGCGTTGAAGGATGTTTGTTCAATGTTTATTCTAAATGCTTCACCATGTCATCTTGCCATTTGAGAATATGTTCAAAATGTGGAATATGTGTTAGGCATGTTAAGACTTCACGTCAAGATCGAAATAAAGGTTGTTATACCAAATTGTATGAAAAGCCACTATGTGCCTAAGATTCCCAAATTGCTCATATGTGAATCTAATGTCTTGAATGGGAAGCCTTATTGTTGTGGATAATGATAATGATATTTGAATGTGAAAAAAGGTACTGGAACTATGAAATACGGCCAAGGGCCAAGAATGACTTTGTAATCGTAATCACTAGTGCCAATGAATTGAAAGTATATGAAAGAAGTACGATGTGAGATGATTGACTGAAAAAGGTAATGTCTCAAATGATATGGCCTAGCCGATCGGGCCGAGATCGGACTCCGTGTAAGAACACGGTGGTATTGTCGATGAAATTATGAAAATGGTTGATGTCTCAAATGAGATGGCCTAGTCGATCGGGCCGTGATCGGACGCCATACCACACACATGGTGGTACAGTGCTGGAAATTATAATGAATTGTGGTAATGTCTCAAATGAGATTACCTAGCCGATGGGGTCGATATCGGACTCTGTGTAAGAATACAGAGGTATTGTGAATTGTGGAATATTGGTACTAAAGATCACCCAACCTAATAATATGAAAATTGACTTGAAAACGTATATGATCCTTAACTTGTTGTTCTAATATTATTTGAAGCCCTTATTGAATTTTTGACTGTTCCTATTGTATTATTATTCACTCTATTGAGATGGTGTTTAGCTATACATATTAGTGTTATTCGATGGTACTAACGTCCCTTTTGCCGGGGGCACTGCATCTTTAAATGGATGCAGGTGGTTACATAGCAGACAATGCTGATCACAGATAGTGCTGCATCCTCTTCTCAGCGGACTCGGTGAGCCCCATTTTATTCCGAGGTCATGTATTGTACCTTTTGTTTATATTGTGGTCACTTTTGAGGTATAGCTGGGGCCTTGTTGCCGATACCATCTTTACTATCTTTTGTATCTTTAGAGGCTCCGTAGACACTATGTGGGTTGTATATGGGTGTTGAAAATGTTAAACAAGTATATGTTGTGTTTGATCACTTGTTCCACTCAGACTATAAGAATCTGTGTATTTTGAGACTTAAAGGCGAAATAGCTAATGAAATGGTTTAATGTTGTATGTATGAACTTCCTTCTGTCTAATTAACAAAATCATGTCTTTTCTTGATCATGGGTGAGTTGGGTAGAAAGTATCTAACATGCTTGCTTAACCGGGTTCACTCGGTTGAGCGCCGATCATGCCTCCCGAGGATGGGCGTGACATACAAGAGTCATAAAATAAAAGCACACTCATAATACTTGTCTACTTAGGAAAATACGTAGGACATAGTTTTTTTGCCTTATTGAATAATTAGATAAATATGATACAATAATCATTATTTTAAAATTTATACGTTTTTCTTTAACTTTTTTTATAATGACTCAAACATAATTTTCTATTTTCATTCACTCGACTACTAAGCCTACAGGCTACTTCGACCATTACACTTACGGGCTACATTACATCGAGTTCGAATCATTCACTCGACTGCTAAGCCTACGAGCTACTTCGACCATTACGCCTACAGGCTACATTGCATCGAGTTCGAATCATTCACTCGACTGCTAAGCCTACGGGCTACTTTGACCGTTATGCCTACGGGTTACTTTTTATTTCGAGTTCGAGCAAGCACTCACTCGACCACTAAGCCTACGGGCTACTTCGACCATTATGCCTATGGGCTGCATTGCATCGAGTTCGAATCATTCACTCAATGACTAAAGCCTACGGGCTACTTTTATTTCGAGTTCGAGCAATCACTCACTCGACCATGACGCCCACGGGCTACATTACCTCGAGTTCAAATTATTCACTCGACGACTAAAGCCTACGGGCTACTTTTATTTCGAGTTCGAGCAATTACTCTCTCGACCATCACGCCCACGGGCTACATTACCTCGAGTTTAAATCATTCACTCGACGACTAAAGCCTACGGGCTACTTTTATTTCGAGTTCGAGCAATCACTCTCTCGACCATCACGCCCACGGGCTACATTACCTCGAGTTCAAATCATTCACTCGACGACTAAAGCCTACAGGCTACTTTTATTTCGAGTTCGAGCAATCACTCTCTCGACCATCATGCCCACGGGCTACATTACTTCGAGTTCGAATTATTCACTCGACGACTAAAGCCTACAGGCTACTTTTATTTCGAGTTCGAGCAATCACTCTCTCGACCATCACGCCCACGAGCTACATTACCTCGAGTTCGAATCATTCACTCGATGACAAAACCTACATGCTACTTTTATTTCTAGTTCGAGCAATCACTCTCTCGACCATCACGCCCATGGGCTACATTACTTCGAGTTTGAATCATTCACTCGATGATTAAAGCCTACGGGCTACTTTCACTTCGAGTTCAAGCAAAACACTCACTCAACTATTACGCCTACGGATTATATTTCTTCAAGATCGAATCACTAACTCAACTAGTAAGCCCAAGGGCTACGTCACTTCGAACAAATCAATAATAGAGACTACAAAGTCCAAATTTGATTGAATTGTTAAGATCCTTGTGAAAACATTTGTAAAGGCACGCATAAAGTCTTCACAATTCAGCCAAAGTTGTCTATATACAAAAATTTCTACATGATTACAAACATAACTATGAACTAATCTTCCTGATCACCCTCGGATTCGCTCTTGCTATCGTCATCTTCATCATCATCGCCATCAGAAGCCAAGGCTTCAGCTTCAGCTTCGAGCTCTTTAGCCTTTTTTATTTCTTCAGTAAGGTCGAAACCCTGAACATGTATCTCCTCGAGGGTCTCCCTCCGAGACCTACATTTGGCAAGTTCGGCAATCCAATGTGCTCGTGTGTCGGCAGTATCCGTCGCCTCTCGTGCCTCCATCTGAGCAGCATCGGCATAAGAAAAGATGAGAAAATTTGGGGAAGTGAACGCGTGAAAGAAGTAAATGATAGATGGAAGAGCTATTTATAGGCTCGCATCGTGACGATTCAATATCACAGGTGGTCGACCGCCACCTGACAAGCATTAAATACTTTGAAAGGCTGAATCGATAGGACAACTAACACATACGTCATAATCGATCCCTGTGAAAACGTCGGCTTATGACCCGATCGAACCACCAAAAATCACATCGATTCTCACCGCATCCTTCGTGAGAAATGAGGGGACTATCTGTATACGGTCAAAATAGATTTCGGCCTTCCTACGTTTGATCGAGTTCGAGTGTTAAAAAGTCGGAATGAGATTTTGGGAATGAGCTCCGAAGTCAGTACTAACGAGCCTCGAGCCCGAAGGTCGCTCGAGGAGTCGGCTTGATAACCCTATCGAGCCCGTGACCGAATCGATCCGCAAGGCACTGCTTCGAGGTCGGAAATGCGCGACGCCCATCTCGAAGGTCAAACTCGAGCCAAGACTGAAGGGCCCGACCCAGTAACGAGTTCGAGCCAGTATCGAGCTCATAGACAAGAGCCGTTGTGACTGCACCAAGAGAGAGAATCTTGTCGGGAATCAAGGAAGAGACAAGTTATCATGGGCCTTCCACTATATGTTTTATTTTATTATTTTTTGTAATGACCCTCTTCTATAAAAGGGGGAATCCTTGTAAGCTAAAGGGCAGAGACAAAAAAATCACTTCTGAGACTGAAAGATATCCCTTTGTGTTTGCTTTACTTTATCTCATTCATTCTTATTGTCCACTATATGCATTCTCATAATCAAGAATATACGTGTCCCTATTTCTCTACACGATTTATATCGAATTGTATCGCATATCCTTAGAACCATACACAAAATCTAATGTTATCAGATTTTTCCGGTAAACAATAACAAATGGACTTCTTATTAAATTCAGAAAAACCAAGAAAAATACCAAACGTTCCAACTTCCACGTTGAGGATTTTTTGGCATGTGACGTGACTGTTGTCAGTTTCCAAATCACAAAAAATCAAAAAATGATACTAAATAACGGCCGTAAAAATAATAGTCGAAAAAATATATAAAATTATATATTTTTTGAAAAAATATATATATTTTTTGTATATATATATATTCTGTATGTTATATACAAAAATTATACAAGTTTTATACACTTTTTCGACTACAAATATAAATAATTTCTGACGCGAGCTAAAAATGACAATACCAAAAAATAAAAAAATCGTCTCCCATTTCCATTGGGCAGCCCATTTCTTCTCGAAACTCCAATCTTCTTGTTGTAAATAAAAAACAATTCTTTGCCAATTGCCATTGTTTTTCTCCTTCATTCATTCAATCATCAAGTCACTGCTGTACTTTTCTATATATATTATTATAGTAAGATGAGCAGCACCTGCTATTCTGCTTCTTCTATCCAATCACTTAACCCCACGTGTCCCTCTTCCCTTATCTTCACTCTCCATAAACCCCAGTTGCTACAGATTCACAGTATCAAAGAAACAAAAAGAACAAGAACTGTTAGAACTTATAATAGTAACACTAGAACAAGAAGAAGAATGACTAGTGTTGCTGCAATGAATGCTGTGTCATCACCAGAAGTTGAAGTACAGAATCAACAGGAGTTGAAAAAAGGAATTGCAGAATTATATGATGAGTCATCTGGGATTTGGGAAGATATTTGGGGTGACCATATGCATCATGGATTTTATGAACCTCAATCATCTGTTTCACTTTCTGATCATCGTGCTGCTCAGATCCGTATGATTGAAGAGTCTCTACGTTTTGCTTCTGTTTCTGGTAAATGGGTTTCTTTTTCTTTGATAGTTTTGCGCAGCACGCCTTCGACTTGAATTGAGCTATATATATATTTGGTTGTAAAGTTCTGAAGAATATAATATTATTGTTAATCTGAATATATATAGTTGTGTTTTTTACTTAAAATCTTGAAATGTGTCCCTGGTTTTAGACCCTTTTACTGTTGTTATTGACGAGGAAGTTAAAAGGTTGGATTTTTTTGTAAAAAAGGAAAGGCCTTTGACTTTGTGTCCAAGAAATTGGGAAACACAAGTTTTGAAGACAAAAGGGGTGAAGGGTACAATATGTATTTAGATTATGGGGAAAAGGCTTAACTTCTTTTCTTGTTTCAGTTCTGAATACTATTGATAGTAACAGAGTAACAGCTAAATGTGATGTCCTGTTATAACCTACAAACATTGACTGTGTTGTTTGTTAAGGAAATACCTATTTGGATTTTGTTTTATGTCTCTATGGGCCATATATTCGATTTTGGGTTGTGCAATATTGAGTAAGTTTACTTGTCACTTTTGCAAAGATTAACTCTGCTTTTTTGCTATTTGTGCTATCTTACATGATGCAAGAATCTGACAATTGCTATATGACCTGTATACAAGGATTTGTTTAATAGCTCATTCTCATGTCAACTGGATCCAATTTTGTGATTGTACGATGAGGAAATGGAGAGTGCTTATTGTATTTTTTACCCCATATATTGCACCTTCGGGAGAATGTGATCATTTTTAATCATATGAAAGGAAGTTGTCTCGATATACCTACAATCTCTTGAATCAATGCAGATTTAGCGAAAGATAGGGTAATACCAATTAGTTGGGAATTTATCTTATTCATGTTAATGTACGTGTACTTTAAATCCTATACTTTTTAGGAGTCTTTTAGCCCTATTAGAGATTCTTATGGTAGTAGAAAATATAGAGAACTTCTAGTAAATTTTATTTTATTTTTATTCTGTAAAATGTTTGAAGCAAGATAAATTTATATGGGGAACATGGTCAGTGAAGATTTACATAGCCGACCCAACTTGTTTAAGATTGAGGCATAGTAGTTGTTGTTGCTGCATGACAGGACATCATTTAATAAGTGATGTCTCCCTGCAATCTGCTCTCCTCTTATTTCCTACTCCAGAATCCTGAGGTATCTCCATGAGTGATGAGACTCTATAATATATTAAGCTTCCTTTTTTGTAGTTATGAATTCTGGAAATAGACCCCTCTTTTCTTCTTGTATACCTTAATTTCCTAACATGAATTTTCAGATGATCCAGCAAAGAAACCAAGGTCCATAGTTGATGTTGGATGTGGGATAGGAGGCAGTTCTAGGTACCTTGCAAAGAAATATGGCGCTACAGCTCAAGGCATCACGTTGAGTCCTGTACAAGCCGAGAGGGCTCAAGCTCTTGCTGCTGCTCAAGGATTAGGCGATAAGGTATCTGCTTTTTGAGCTAGATTTTGCTTTAAAATACTACGTATGAGGAGCTTTCTTTTAAGAAGTTTAAATCACTTCAACTTTTCATGAACAAGTTAAAAAGAAATGCTATTTGACTGAGTCATAGAGCTGAGGATAGTTTACATTGTTTAATGACCGACTTCTTAAAGTTACTTATATTGTGCAAAACTTGTACTTGTTTATGTTTAGTGAATTGTTATAACATATTTAGGCTGTCTGATTACTTCTTCAATTAGCTGTTATACACTTAACTTTGCATTGGTTATTCAGAATCCTTATACCTTCTTATAACTGGACTTATTCCTAAAGGAAGCTAATAAAGAGGAAAGTTAATTGGTTTCCCCTCAATATCATTTTGATGCCAAAGGTTACCTTCCTCCTGTGCCCAATCCTACACCTCAAAATGTATTGATATTTGCACTTAGAATTTTTACTAACTGAAATGCAAATGAGCAGGTTTCTTTTCAAGTTGCAGACGCCTTGAATCAGCCATTTCCAGACGGGCAATTTGACTTGGTTTGGTCCATGGAGAGTGGAGAACACATGCCGGACAAACAAAAGGTTCATCATATCTGAACATGAACATGTGAACTTCTCACTGGCTAATTGTTGCTATAGAGTTTCTTCTAAACTCCTTTTCCTTAATTGTTAGTTTGTTGGCGAATTAGCTCGAGTGGCAGCACCAGGAGGCACAATCATACTTGTGACATGGTGCCACAGGGATCTTTCCCCTTCAGAGGAATCTCTGCTTCCAGAGGAGAAAGAGTTGTTAAATAAGATATGTAAATCCTTCTATCTTCCTGCATGGTGTTCCACTGCTGATTATGTGAAGTTACTTCAATCTAACTCTCTTCAGGTAAATTAATTCTACTAGCTGCTATCCACTTGATACACGTTCCATTTTCTATTTCATAAGTTTATATCATGATCCAGTCCAAGTATTCTCAATGACATATTATTTCTTGGCAAAAAATCTTGTGGCTACTATGGCAGGATATCAAGGCAGCAGATTGGTCTGAGAATGTCGCTCCATTTTGGCCAGCAGTAATAAAATCTGCACTGACATGGAAGGGCTTTACATCAATCCTACGCAGTGGTAAGCTGTGTTGTGCCAAAATAGATGTACTTATGCAACATTTTGGTACCCTTTTTTCTGTAGTGACTCATTAGAGTACCTCATCAGGATGGAAGACAATCAAAGCTGCACTTGCAATGCCACTTATGATTGAAGGATACAAGAAGGGTCTGATCAAATTTGCCATCATCACTTGCCGTAAACCTGAGTAGTAAGTGAGACCCCAAATACTCTCAATTCATATCATCCTTTTTTTTTATAGAAGGCTTGAATTCATCGCATCCTATTTTGTGCTCTAGCAAATACTCTGAATTCATATCTTGTGGTTTTCAGTTAGCTAGCACAAATTTATTTTCAGTTGGAAAGAGACCTCTGCTTTAGCCAATGTCAACAATTATGATAACAAAACAAAAGATCCATTTGACTTGTTAGATACCAATGCTTGATAGCCTAAGTATTGCCACCAACCTTCTTGTGATCTATCTAAATTGATATCAGCATTCAATTCAGTACATTATATTCAGAAAACCTTGATCATGTGCAGAAGATGTCAATTGGTGATAGTTTATTACTTGTCGTTCCTTTCTTAATATTCAAGAGTACAAATGAAGGTAGAGGCAGGTGACTATTTCTTCTGAATGATTAAAAAGAAGGCTTTGATTAGTACATGCATTCCTTGAATCATCTCCAGCCACTTGAATTTTAGATTTTCCTTCTCCTCAAATGGATGTTTCCTTATTTAATATATCGAGTGATTTAAGTAAGAACTTCCTTGTGATATCTAAAATCAAAAAGGCTTTCTCTAACAAATAAAAGCAATTCCATGTTCAAGTAGGTTGTTGATTCATGGAATCAAATCAAGATTGTTTATATATCCTCTTTGACTTTGGCTTCAATTGTCCACTTGGGTAATAAGTGAAGCCTGACTTTTATAGAGAGGATTGTGATTGGGATTAACATATATAAGTGTCACGACCCGAAATTTCCCACCGACGGGACCGTGATGGCGCCTAACATTTCACTTGCTAGGCAAGCTAACGTTAGAGAATTATTAAACCAATTCCTTATTCCCATTCAGTAATTAACAATAATTAACTAAGATGAAATATAATAAGTGCGGAATATCATAAAACTGTATTAATTACTGTCACCCGGATCTGGAGTCACAATTCACAAGCATTCTAGAATTTACTACAAGTAATAGTCTGAAAGAAATACAACTGTCTGAATGAAAGAAAACAGCAGGGTATAAAAGATAGACGGGGATTTCAAGGTCTGTGAACGCCGACAGATCTACCTTGAGTCTCCGGGCAGCGGACCAATAACAAAATCTCGATCAACCTGAGCCGGTATCAAAATCTGCATAGAAAGTGCAGAGTACAGCATCAGTATAACCGACCCCATGTACTGGTAAGTGTCGAGCCTAACCTCGACGAAGTAGTGACGAGGCTAAGGTAAGGCACCTACAAATCAACCTGTACAATTTAACAGTGTATATACAAATAACAAAAATGAAGAACTAAAAGAAATTGTCGGGAGGGGAACATACAGAGGGGGGATACAAGATAAAGAACTACAACAGAATGATCACCGGAGCAGTCAATATACCATGAATCAACAGGAATAATGAATACAGTAAGGAAAAATGCACGGCATCACCCTTCGTGCTTTTACTCTCAATCTCACCATAAAATTAATAGAAACGGTACGACATCACCCTTCGTGCATTAACTCTCATATCATGGCACGACATCACCCTTCGTGCATTAACACTCACAATATGGCACGGCATCACCCTTCATTCATTAACACTCACAATATGACACGGCATCACCCTTCGTGCATTAACACTCACAATATGGCACGGCATCACCCTTCGTGCTTTTACACTCTCCCTTACCATAATGCAATGCATAAATAACAACAGGGAGATAGAATAACAAGTACAAACCTTACTTCAACATTTGGTTCCATAATATCAATCTCAACTTTGAAATAAAAAACTCAATTATCACCAGAAAATCCGTAAACATGATAAGAACGATAAATTGAACATCACTAGTATAACACGTCGCAATTTGGCATAAGAAAGAGACAATATAAGAAAAACAGAGAAACATGGAAAACAGGTAAATTGGCGGCGCATAAGTACTCGTCACCTCACATAGACGCCGCTCACATGGATTTCACTTAGCAAGTAATCTAAGGTTCCTAATTCTCTCAAGTCAGGGTTAGACACAACACTTACCTCGCTCCGAAGGCCACTTAATTCTCAATCACAGCTTTTCCTTTGGAATTCACCTCCAAACCACTCGTATCTATTCAAAAATGACTCAATAATATCAAATATTGCTAAAGGAATCAATTATATTGCATAAATTAAATTTCTCAAATTTTCCTCCAAAAAGTCAAAAAATCGACCCCGGGCCCGCTTGGTTAAAACCCAAGGTTCGGACCAAAATCCATTTACCCATTCACCCCCGAGCCCGAATATATAATTGGTTTTGGAATCTGACCTCAAATTGAGGTCTAAATCCCCAAATTTTTTCGAAATTCCTAGTTTCTACCCTAACCCCTAATTCTACCATAAAAACTCTAGATTTTAGGTTGATAATTCAAGAAATGTAATGGGTAATTGAAAGAAAATGGTTTAGAATCACTTACCAACACTTTGGGGAAGAAAATGACTCTTGAAAATCGCCTCTACCCGTTTGGTTCTTGAAAAATGTTGAAGAAATGGCTTAAACCCGTGTTTGATTCTGTTTTATGCACTGGGAGACAGTGTGCATTGCGTTCGCGAGGCCACTGTCGCGTTCGCGAAGGGTACTGGCTGCCAAGCCTTCGCGTTCGCGAGATCCTGCTCGCGTTCGCGATGGTTACTCCCCCCTGGCCTTCACATTCGCGATGAAGGACCGACCAACCCTCCCCCAGGTGTGCCTAACACTACGCGTTCACGAGGAGTTGATTGCGTTCGCAAAGGGTAACGCCCCCATCGTTTCGCGTTCACGACAAAGCCTTCGCGTTCGCGAAGAAGAAAACTTCAGCTGCCCAGTTTACTCTTCGCGTTCGCGAGAGTACCTTCGCGAACGCGAAAAAGGACATGCCAGAACACCTGCTGCAGCAAAATACCAGATTTTCAAAGTCCAAAACATCCCGTGGCCTATCCGAAACTCACCCGAGCCCTCGGGGCTCCAAACCAAACATGCACACAAGTCTAAAAACATCATACAAACTTGCTCGCGCGATCAAATCGCCAAAATAACACCTAGAACTACGAATTTAGCACCAAATCAAATAAAATTCTCAAGAACACTTTAAAATTTCTATTTTTTCAATTGGACGTCCGAATCACGTCAAATCAACTCCGTTTCGCACCAAATTTCACAGACAGGTCTTAAATATCATAATGAACCTGTACCGGGCTCCGGAACCAAAATACGAACACGATACTAACAATGCCAAATATCAATCAATTCTTAAAAATAAATAATTTTCAAACTTTTAATTTTCATCAAAAATTCATAACTCAAGCTAGGGACCTCCGAATTCGATTCCGGGCATACGCCCAGGTCCCATAATTCGATACGGACCTACCGGGACCGTCAAAGCACGGATCCGGGCCCGTTTACCAAAAATGTTGACCAAAGTCAACTAAAATTAACTTTTAAGGCAAAAATTCTTATTTTCATTAGTTTTCAACATGAAAGCTTTCCGAAAACCTGCTCGGACTGCGCACGCAAATCGAGGAGGGTAAAAATTTAGATTTTTAAGGCTTAAGAGCGCAGATTCGAGTTCTAAAACATAAGATGACCCTTTTGGGTCATCACAATAAGTGTGCTAATATTATATACCCAGAATTAGTGATGTGTAATTGAGACATATTGATGTTGCTTCTCCCAGTACACCCTGTACTCCTATATCTACAGCAATAGGTGGTGCGGAGCTATTCATTCGGTCTTTGCTTTCTTTATATTGTTGCTTGCCTAAATCAGTCTTTTATCCGACCCCAGTTTATTTCGAATTGCTATGTAGTTGATTGATATATATAACTATATAAGTAAAAATATTGAGAATTGGTTATGGCATATATCCATTATCTGTCATGGTGTTCTTTATTGACTGTTTTCTTTTTCCAATATTTCTTTGTACTGTGGGTTCTTCTCAAGTCATAATCGGTTGCAACTTTCTGATTAGTGACTTTTTACTGCAGATTCTTTGCTTTGCCATTGTTGTTAATGAACTTCGACGGATCTTGGAAGAAAAATTAAACTATCTGTTAGGCACAGGAAGTGCAACATTTGATTTAACTCCAGATTGCAAGATGAGGAAATTACTTTGGCTTAACTGGAATAACCAGAGACATTTTCAGGAGGCTACACTAGCTTTAATAATCCTTTAACAGATTGAAGTTTGATTACAGTATTTAGTTGGATGATACCTTATCTCTGTAGGACCTATTATATTGTGGAATGTGTTCATAATAAAACTTCTATAGCTATCTCACACGTAAAAGTTAAGTTATGCTTTGTACTGTCCCAATTATGTAAAAGAGTATTGACATTGTTTCTTCAGGGGAACGATCAAGGTCTCTAGTGCTAAAAAGAATTACTCAGCTTATATGTTAATGAGTTCTAACTTTGAGCTGATAGAAAATTGCCATGATAATCAAAGAGAGAAAAAAAGTTCGTTTCTACAAAGTACGTACATGTTCTTGAAACCGTATTGCATACTGGTTTCTACAAAGTATGTTGATGTTTTGATTAGATCATGTATTTATATTAGAAAATTTATATAAATTTAAATTGTGAACTCAGTTATTAAACTGAGCTGCGGGTTAGAAGATAAGTTAAGAATCCATAATCGTCAAAATTCTTGGCCCACCTCTGGTACTGCCAGTTTATGAACAAGTCACAGGAGCAATTTATTTGAGGAACTTCTAAAAATTTGTGCCCTTCCTTTTTTAACTCTCTTTAGTCGCCCAGATTGCAATTTTCATGTTTTCTATTTTCATATTTTCAAATATTATGACGGCACAGATTAACAGTAATTGTGAGAACTAAAAGAAAAAGATTAAAATAGCTAGTGTAATTAATGAAGAACATGGGTCAACAGTGAAAAATGGAGAAAAAATTGGAAAAACAATAAGAGAAAAAGCTCGCAATAGTCCCTTTTGTTTGAATTTAGAATTAAAGTCGTCCTTATACATTCATTTAGAGCACTAATAGTCCTCCAATAATTGAACACTGGCCCATCTTTAGTCTAAATTTAATAAGGCGCTAAACTAGGGCCTAAGACGACAACAACAACAATTCAGTATAATTTCACTAGTGGTGTCTGGGGAGGGAGGCTGTTTCCGATAGACTCTCGACTCTCTCCCTCCAAGAACTCTCTACCTTGCTCTTGGGGTGACTCGAACTCACAACCTCTTAGTTGGAAGTGGAGGATGCTCGCCGCCAGAACAAGTTAAGACAAAAATGCCTTAATTACAAAACAAAATGACTTTCACTGCCCGTCTTCTCTTATTTACCCGACCATGCCCCATCGCTGCCTATTTTCTTCTTCTTCTTCTTCTTCTTCTTCTTCTTTACATTTTAGATTTTATTTTCGATCCAAAATCACTGCAATCCTCACCCAAATCGTCTCAAGCTTCAAAATCAATGTTACTGGACTATTTTAAGCAGCTTTCAACAACACCCATTTAATTTTTCACAATAACTTTTAAAACTCAATCTCAAACGCAAGCTTCAAAATCTCACTGCAAAGTGGTCCTATTGTTTCGACTTCTGCATTCCCTAGAGTCAAATGATGAAATTTCTTGCTTACGCAGCTAGTTGTTGCTCCAATGGACATTATTTGTTGATAATATCGGGATCAAATTTATGTTCGTTTTTTATTCCTGGAAATTGTTTTGGTTCTGTCCTTTTTTGTCACTGTTGGATTTGTAATTGGAGTCTACCCATGTTAATTTTTTGGTACATCGATATGGATACTTCCTTTTTTGATTCGCAAGTTTATGACCTTATTTGTAGAAATGAACCTTGAAAAAGCCTTGGCTAAAGCCGAGATGCTTAAATTGTCTTCTACCTTGGCAAGACTAATTTGCTGTCAGAAATCAGGTATCATTGTGCCTAAATGAAGAGATATCTACATTGAAAATTTATATTATGTATTATCACCTGCCTGGACTTTAGGCATTAAAAAAAAGCTGGCTGCTTCAATTTTGATTTTCCAATCGAGTGCGGAGAGTTATGTTCCATATTGTTGGTATACTACATATTATACCATGATTACTGTCAATTGTGGTATACTTTATTTCTGTATATTAAGCGGTATTCAAATATATAGTATACCATGATTATTGTTGAATCAAAATATACTTTATTCAAGTACATTAAATAGTATACCCAACAATCTTGGTATACTATTGATTGGTGTACCTTGATTCAACAATCATGACATTTCCAGTATTTTGGTGTCACGATCCAAAATTCCGCCTTAGGCGTCGTGATGACACATAGTCTCTAAACTATGTAAGCCGATTACATATAACAATTAAGTCAGTTTAACAATGATATTTTAAAACAGAGTTTAATATAAAAACCGAAATAAATGTGAAACAAGCCTACGCGGCAATAACCACAACAACCTCCCAAGACTAGGTAATACAGAGTCACGAACTCTAGTTGAATACATAGAAAGATCTCAAAAATCGAAATACAATAATGTTCGGATAACAAACTGACAGTACAATAGAAAAGGAAAGGACTCCAAGGGACGACGACTACCAAGCAGCTCTACCTTGAATCCTCGCGATCAAGAAGCTAACTTTGCCTGAGTACGAAATCTCCAATACCTGGATCTGCACAAAAATATGCAGAAGTGTAGTATGAGTACACTACGGTCGGTATCCAATAAGTATCAAGACTAACCTCGGTGGAGTAGTGACGAGGTACAAGTCAAGACACCTACTAGTCAAAATAACCTGCGCAGTATAAAAGTATAAAGCTAATAATGAAAGCAGGAATCAGTAAATGGCAACAAGAATCAACATGTGATATAAACAGTAAAGTATTAAGAACACCGTTAAAGTACCATTGAAACCAAATAAGGAAAACAAATAGCAACCAATTAATCAAGCAGTTCTAACACAAGTCTCACAACGAAATTACTTCGAGATGCCTCATCTCATAATCACAAGTCGCGAGTCCCAAATCACGAATCATACGCTCACGACACCTCGTGCCCACATTTTTAATCATCACCGCACGGACAACTTACGTGCCAATATCTCAATCTGCCCGGCATGGTCGCAGGCTCATAATCACAATCCGCCTGGCATGGTCACATGCTCAATATCATAAATCCGTCCGGCATGGACACGAGCTCACTATCACAATCCGTCCGATGTGATCACATGCTCAATAGCACAATCTCCCAGCGTGGTCACATGCTCAATATTACAATGGAAGCAGATAATACAAGAATACATGGGCATGATCAATGAATGTCAAGTTTCATACTCCTGAATTGGTATAAGTGGCATGCTACGGTGCATGCTTGTGCGAGTGTACTATCACATTCCAAGTCAACAAGTTATATCAAAGACATCGAGTAGCTCATTGAAAGCAACACAACAAGTCACGTAAGGGGCATGCCATACACAAGGAAAAATTACACCATCACATGAATATCATCAACATAATGCCCTCAGGCCATCACATATCATCCCTGACATAGCCACCCTTATCTCTTTGTATTGATAACATCATAATAGCCACCCTTATTGCTACGCCCAAATATTTAACATAATAGCCACCGGTATCACTCCTATAGCCACCCGTATCACTCCGATAGCCACCCGTATCACTCCGAGAGTCACCCGTATCACTCCGCCCTGACAATAACACAATAACCATCCTTATCGTTCCACATCATCATCAACAGGGAAATGCCACCCTTATGCTTCACATAACGACAATAGTGAGATGCCACCCTTATGCTCCGCATAACAACAATCAATCAACATAATAATTTCACACGTGCTAACGTCACAACAACACGATATATTACACTACTAGAAAATGACAAATTTTCGACCGCCAAATCGGTTGAAAATCGAGTTTTTCCTACAGATTACCAACCGAAAAAGGTCGGTCGAAAAACACATGGTCGCAAATAATTTGCGGCCGAACCGGTCGAAAATTTCCGACAGATTTGATCGCAAATTGAAAAATAAGGACGCGCTTGAATATAAGATATTTGCGACTAAATTGGTCGGTAAATTTCCGACCGATTTGGTCGCAAATTTAAATAATAAAATAAATACATAATTTAAATTTCTGACCGAATCGGTCATAAAATTTGAGAATAAATTAATTAAAAATAAATCATAAATTCATAATTTGCGACCGAATCGGTCGCAAATCTAGGAAATTTTTGGTAAGATTTGCGACTGATTCGATTGCAAATCAGCCCCAAATCTGAAAAAAAAATTAGCAGAATTCTGCTATATTTTTAACTATACCACATGCCAAATAAAATAGCCAACCAAACACCTAATTTATCATCCACTATTTATAACAAATCAAACACAAATATTGATAACTAACTAAACTATAACAAATCAAACACCTATATATATAACAAACCAAGCAATCAAACACCAATTATCAAAATACTAACACACACTCATAATTTTAACATATTTATATCTTCGAGTCTAAAATATAACATCCATATTCAAAACTCATATTGATCAGATTCAGTCTCCTCGTCAGACTCAGATTCCTCTATTGCAGGTTGATTGCCTTTCTTGCTTTTCTTTTTTAATAATTTCTGGATCAAAACTTGAGTTGCGTTCTATTCTTTACCACGAGAAGCCATCTGAGTAATGAATATAAAATATTTACATATAAAATAATTTAACATAACAAAAATAAACACAAAATATACATAATAAATATAACAATATAAATATAAAAACATATTACAATAATTTAAGGAATAACATACAAATACTCAACAAGTCTTAAAACACACAAATAGCTTAATCCTTATGACTTGTTTCATTTTTATTTTCTTCATCATATAATTCTTCATCGCTTGTTTCATTTTCATCATATAATTCTTCATTGCTTATTTCATTTTCATCATATAAAGTCCACACATGGCTTTAATTAATTATTATATTAATTAATATAGTATATTTGTCAAATTTAGAAAATTTCTTTTAATGTAGCAATTATTAAGTCTTAAATTTAATATCAATCCGTTAATAAATTAGGAAGCAACAATAAGTTTAACTTCTTAAACTTAAAACTAAGGATTTAAACTATAAGTACTTAATACAATTCTAAATCAATAAATTAAAAGTTAATATTATTCCAATAATAAATTAAGAACCAACAATAAACTTAACTTCATAAATTTTAAACTAAAGCTTTAAACTATAATTAAGTACTACAATTCCAATCACAAACTAAGAATTTAAAGATTAACAATCAACTAATTCAATCAATTAAATTCTTTGACAGCAATCTCAAACCTAGATTCAATCAAATTCTTCGACAACAATCTAAAACCTAAATTCAATTACCAACTTAATATGAAAAGTGTAA